CGCTTGGGTCTGGAGGCGCTGCAGCGCTTCGGGCGCTGGGCGGCTGAAGCAGAGTGGACCCGACATCAGTGGGTGCGAGAGGAGGCGGTCGGCAGATGGCGGTGGGGTGGAAGATGGAGGGCCGAGTCGGGTGACAGAGTGGGGAAGATAGGAAGGCCAAAAGCTGGCAGGTTTGGGCCAAATGTGGTGCCATGTATAAATCAGGGTTGGGTGGCACAACCACAACACACAACCACAAAGACATGTGTACGGCACACACTTACAGCACACAACCACAATACACAACCACAATCACAGTACACAACCCGAGGACCCACAAACAAAGTCGAGAACTACAAAACAGTATGTGCACATATGTGCACAGTATGTGCTGGCAGAGGGGTGATTCTTTAAGCTACAATGTTGGTACGGGCCATTTGGATTCAGGATCCTTCAAGGTGGCGTGTGGCAGTGGCACCGGTGGGTTCCTAAAGAATCAGACAGCCCTGGTGGCCGAATTCCAAGAGGGATGTAGAGAACTACAAAACTCACGATCATGGCAACATGCTCCTCACCAAGACAAATGATATCAAATGATTAAAATGTAATGGTGGGGATCACTCAAACTAGAGTAACTTGTATAAATAGCCCATCCCATCCCCACATCAATGAACCAAGTCCTTTCAGGCAGCAGCAACGGAAAAGCAATCCCAGCCTTGTAACATTTACTACCCAAATAGATCCAGATCATTTATAGTTACTACCATACCATATGCTCAGGACTGGAGTTGGCAACCCCTAAGCCGGATGGACCCTAAAGCCGGGTGTTTTTTCGTTTTGAAGATGGCAAGGAGGTTGAATCCAGCCGTCGCCACGAGGTACAGGCATGGCTGCAGGATGCACAGCGCTATTTGGATCGGACAGCATCGTTTCCCGATTTGGACGCCATCAGCGAGGATCAGGAGAGGAGGGGATGAGGAGGCTCTGGAGGGGAGACTTAGGAAGCCTCTGGCCTGGTAGATGAAGTTTTTGTGTTCAGAATCCGGTATAGGACCCTTTGAGAGAAGCTATGTTGCACTCTGATCCATTTTGGGAAGGGAATTCTACATCTTGAGCGGAGATCTTCGTCGTTCTGCGATGCCACGGATCCCTTCCTTTGGATCTCCTTCCTTCGTCGCTCGACGAAGCCGCCAGGAGACGATCCTCTTCCACGCGCGCCTGGAGGTCCGAAGAGCGACGCCACTCTGGGCGGCACCGGAGCGCGGCTCGGTCTCGGACCGGTCTCCGCTTTCAGGTCCGGAAGGACGGAGGTTTATGGAGTACATGGAATGAGGAATGCATGGGGATTTGTTGGGTGTTTTGCGGCGATCTTGGTTCTATCTTGTGGCCAGGTTTTATGAATGGCGCTGCATCTCCTGAACGAACTACCTACGGCCGAACCGCTACAACTAATTATCCAACATTTGTAAGTGGGGTGTGACATGACCAAGACCATGAAGCTTGAAGCAGGTGCCCTTTTTGATCAGAATCATAACACTTCAAAAGTGCTGGTTGAGCTTTGCTCCTTCACTCCAACCCCACAAAAAAGTTTAAAAAAAACAAACTAAAAAAAGACATTTGGCCACTGAGGCCGCACGAGCTCTCCGTTGGGAACGGTCGGAAAGGGACAGATACTACAAGCACAAGCGCTCAAAGGTCTTTGGGTTCGTGTGAGCCACCGGGACAACGAGCAGCGGGAGCGCTCCTGCTGGCTGCATGGGTATGATGAGGAGCATGGTCATGTTTGCGATATCACCTTTTGGGATTTTAGCCGCTTTACCCGCGCGGAAGCAGCAAAAAGAATCGAAGACGCTTCTCTTGTGGCGGGGCGCGCGCGCGAACTGGCGACCAGCTGGAGACGTGCTGTTGAAGGTGCTTCGGATTTGATGAGATGAATTCATTATTGAAAGACTCGCGAGTGGGTATACCGCACATGCTCCAAGGTGATCAGGTTACACAATGTTCCACAATGTTGTCACAAGGTTGACAATCCCCATTGCACGAGGGATTGACAGTCCCCTGTCAAAACGGTCCTTTCTTTTCTTTGACAGGGCCTGAAAATGCCCTTGCTGTTTGATATTGGGGAGGCCCAAGTTCGCAACCCCTGCCTTATTAGTTGACTTCACCACGGTCGTAGTATGTTGTAGTCGCTTTGGACTGCTAATGTCAGCTTTGTCTCAATGCAAGTTTGGCTCCAGCGGCTGACAAGTGCAATCCTTCCAAAGCTTCGAGTGCCTAAAAGCCATGATAGTCTCCCAGTCAGCTAGGTGAACTTGAAGTGCAATCGAGAGACACATTGTCAAGGATTTGTTTGGGACATCCTGGGGACACGTTTCCAGCACGTTGGCAGCCATGGGCTGGGGTGGTGGCCGTGGCCGGCGCCGACCTGGGAGCGGGAGCTCCGCTGTCAGCAGCTCCCCGAGCCGATCACACTACTTTGACGATGCACCTGGGGCAGTGGATTGAGTAACTGCAGAGTGTGGCACTGAAGTAGGGAGGCCCTCGCAGCCAGACTGGTAAGGGGGAAGCAAGACCCTTTGTAGCCCGGGTCGCCATGATCCAATCATATTCCCATCTGCATAGCCCCAAAACAGTATGTGGTGCAGCCTTTCGTGACCAACGTGCAGTAGTCAAAAGCGGAGGGTGCATCCTCCAAGTGCACACTTGTTTGTCATTGTTTGTTATATATGTTCACATGCTGTTTCCGGTGCATCGCCTCGATGCCGCGAGATGCTTTCGACGCCACGGGTGGTCCGCTGTGGCGTCGAACATGGTTTCGATCCCATGGGGCCCGGGTCGGCGTGGGCGCCGGGCGACCGCGACCGCGAGGCACCGGAGAGTCCTTCACACGAGAGTCCTTCACGCTTGGACCAGGTCAAGTCGCTTGGAGGATTAAACGTCCTGGGTTTGGCTAAGAGGAGGAGAAGCTCCCCCACCACTGAGCGGTCTCTTGGTTGGGGATGGGGGGAATGACATAGAATGACCAGAGATGCGTCGTCCAAAAAATCCGAGTCAGTATGCTGCTTTCGCGCCGTTTTCATTGCATGACTGGCCGTCTTTCGACGCATAGACCTTTGGCTACCGCTGGGGTTGACACAAGGGCCTGCATGTTCTGTAGACATTTGTGACCCTTCGGGTTGGAAGATCCCAATTCTCCAAAATGGATGGTGCCCCGTCAGCCAGCACTGAGCTGGGAGATGAACTTCGTAAGGAAGAAATTGCAAGACATCGAGATCCTCGAGAACCGTCTCAAGAAAGGTGAGATGCCGCTTGGCCGGGCTTGGAAGCGATTGAATCTTGGAACTCTCCCGCAAAGCTTAGCTGTGTTTGATCCATGTCGGATTCTATACCTTGAGAGGGAGCGTGGACCATCCTTCTGAAGATTTAGGATTGATTCCAGCACCTTCAAAGGGGTCACCAATGGAAGCACACCACTAAGGGACCTCCATTGGACACCCCTTGAAGGTCCAGGTTGTGGATTGAATGGGAACCCAAAGTCAACGTTGCTCGCGAACTCTTTCGAGACTTTCACGGCCCTGCAGCGCTGACCTTGGCCCCACTGGAGCTCCGGCAGCTCTTGATCCAGATGTGTTGAGGTTAAACATCAGCCAAATCAAAAAGATGGAAGCAAAGGCCGCAGTGGCTGAAAATGGCTGGAAGGTGTTTGCCAGTGGCATTTCATGATCTTGGCAGGTTGTTTACAGAGTCGCATCATTTTTCTGGGGCCAGCTCAATTCGCCTATTCGCACTTGTCCAAAGATCCTTTGTTTGACCCGGTTGGACAAGGGAAGTCAGTCCCGATTACGGGCCTAGGGCTAGTATCCGAAGCGAGCGGGGTATCAAATGGTCATTATGAAGAACCAGGTGAGGATTGTCGAAGATACCAGGTACATTGTTGCATGGTGAGTGGTTTATCATTTTGACCTACTGTAATTATATTATATATATATATATTTAGAATGTATGCATTTTGGAACACTTGGAACACTGAAAAAGCGTCATACAGTCCAGGAGTCACAGAGGGGAGGGGTGGTTTTTAGTCCCATCCAGGGGCTGTGGATGTTCTGGGCACCCCGACTTCCTCCAAGTTCGGCACGTCTTTCCGACTGCTGGCTATACCTCATCGGTCCGCTTCGTTCGGCTCATCGATCCGCTTCGGATGCGTGGCTTGTCCACGATCGCAGGCGCGGCTCGAAAGCGAACTGGAGGAGCTGCAAAGGAGCGAGGCCTGGAATGGTGTCAGATTCCTGTGACGTGAACTGTTCGACTGAGACTGGGATCACTTGGTTCTTCGCGGTGTTTTTGAGAACGAAGCTGAATTGTTCAGCATTGCTTCACGTCCCCCTACCAGCTAGAGGTCTTGGAATTGTCGCTCGAAGTGGAGAAATCTACTGGGAATCGGTTCTTTGTGGCGTCGGGTTCCCTATCAGCAGGCCCAAGAAGAAGAAGCGACGATTGCAGATTTGCTGAAGGAGCAGATCACAGAATTTCAAATCTAGATGAAGTGTGGGCGGTGCGCCAGAAACTTCAAAGATCAACTGGCTTATGATTGGCAGCCAAACTGAAAATGGTGACGCTTCCTCATCTCAGTCTGCAGCTGCAGCACCCGCAAGCAGGAGAAGGAAGCGTTGGAGAAAGGCATCGAAATAGAGGTCACGGCATCGCACCGCTACACATTTGCCATCCGCATGGCTATTTCTGGATATATACTGTATATATATATATATCCATATCATGTGATTGTAAGGCTCATTAAGGCTCGCTCGGTTTCAACTGGGGCGGAGTTCTCAGCGATTCCAGCGACGCCGCGGAAGGGGGTGTGGGTGTGGATTGCTTGAAGAAGGCACAGTGCATCCATGTGCATCCCTTTTCTGATCCTTTCCGTGGGTGAAGTGGGAAAAACAGAGCAGTAAGAGATAGGAGAGGGAGGTTCTGAATGATGGGATTGGGCCGAACCTTTTCCGCAGACGCCTTTACCCGAACCCTGGTAGTTTGGGCAGAGCGTTTGAAGCAGGAAAGAGGGCGTCGTCAGATTTGGGGAAATAGATCAAAACAGACCAACACCATCCGTCTCATTTGGCACCAACACGCCCATTTGTTCCAACTGGATGTTCCAGACTGATGTTCCAGACGGCGAAGTCATAGCTTCTTAGTTACGTATAGTAATGCCAGGAGCGCGCCGTTCGTAGCTCCTTGCTCCGTTCGTAGCGATGCCCTTTGCCACTGCGGCAGGAGGTGCGACTGCCTGGTGCCCTGAGTCCACCTGTGTCCAAGGTGGGAGGAACTTGTTGAAAGGAAGGACTGGAGTCGGGACACAGAACATCACAGAACGCTTGCTTCAAACGCGCACATTCATATACACATGATTATACATGGCATATCATGGCATCATATGGCATTCCATCAACATGCCATCAACACCAGCCTCTTCCAAGTGTTCTAGTCCTCCTTGTTTGATGGACTCTCGGGGCGCACTCTCTACCAGGAGGACGGGCTCCCGACCGTTCCAGGCGCCGAAGTCCAGTCCTTTGCTGCCACTACCCTCGAAGCCAAAGAAGCTGGCACCGTCCGAGCACCCAGTTAGACCCGGGGTTCTCATTGTTGGCCTCCTCACATTTGTTGGGGTAAAATTCGGGCAGGGCATGGTGAAGCTTCGTTGGCACAGAAGCGAACGGTGCAGCTCTGGCAGGGGCGAAGCGGCGAAACGAATGAGATGGTCAGCGCGAAGACCAAAACAAGTCTCAAAACGATCCAAAACGAGCGTTGCATCTCAGGTGGGCGAAGACTCCTCCAAGTCCCGGCGCGAAGACCCCTCAGAGCCCCAACGCATCACCCAGGCGGGCTTTCCTTCCAGCTATGTGAACATCAAGAAAACAGCACCACACTGGGATGTTCACCACTCCATATCCTTCCCTTGATTTTAGATCTTTTGCATCTTGACCCGCACCAAACTGCATCGTCCGCAAAAACCTGACCCCAATTCATGGCGGTGGTGTTTATGGGTTAAGTTTCCTGTTTCGACCACGTTGGATGTTCTTCGCTTTTCAGACACTGGGTGCATGGATGGTGGCGTGGATGGTGCATGGTGCACCTGTGCACCCGAACTTTTCGCGGGGTGCACCTGAACTTCGCGCCAGGTCGGCCGTCTCCCCCACCAGCAGCTCTCCACCCTCTCCACGCCCCAACCAGCTGCGGCTGCCAATCCCAGCGCAGACTACAGCACCTTGACACAGCGATGCGGCTGACGGCAGAGGTGAAGCCTATCAGCCTAGAGGTCTTCAGCCAGGTTCTTTTGAAGGAAAAGAGGCTGTTGGAATGCAAGACTCGCTTCACCTTGAAGATCCTTGAAGCACTCGTTGAAAGCATTCGTGGTGACCTCTCAGAGCCTTCCGAGCATGGTCCGAGGCCGAGCAGCTGGCTTGGTTGGAAGGCGCTGTAGATTGGGGGTCGATGAGTTGCAACTTTTGCTGCACAATGGGTCCGTTTTGCTTTTTGCATTTGGGTCCGCTGCGGTCTTTAAAAACAAGGCAACATCCTGGAGAACCGCTGTGTGATATTGTGTCTCGTGTGTGTGGGGTGGGGTCGTCGGTCTCAATGCTTTGTAAAGGCTGAATCCAATGGCAGGGGCACACATGGAAACCATGAGACAGCTTCTACGTTGTGAGGTCAGTGCATAGGCATAGGCTTCTTGGCAACAGGAGGCACGTTCCCCTCTCTATGACACTGTGACACATCTTCCGCCACTGACAGGATCATTTGATCCTTTCCCCTGGTAGATTTCTTAGTTTCGCTCACAGGGATCCTCAGACCACCTTCACCATGACCCTAACGGCCTAGAGCCATTGGCGGAGGCGATTTGCCCTGCTGGGCCAAGAAGTTTGCCTCGTTGGCACGAGTGGAAGATGGTCAAATCGTGGTGGAGCTCGGGATGGAGGCCCAGCCCGTGCGGTGCTTCACGGCAAGCACGAGGAGCTGTAGAGGCCAAGGTGTTTCTACACAGATGATTTCTACCCTATGGGTCAACCCCCAAGCCTGGGGGATGAGTTTCATGATTCTTGTTCCGGTTCCTGGGGGGGGTCATAAATCCAAGGGGAAGCCCGGGGTTGGAGGAAGGATCCCTGCAGCAACTCGTCCGTGATGCAATTGTGAGCACGGCCCAACCTCAGGCGGCGGCAAGCTCAGCAGCAAGGGAAGAGCTCTACGAGCTTGTGGAGTACGATCTGGACACTGTTTGGGATAGATGGAGTGGCAAAGGCTTGTCAATGACGGATTCGCAACCAGCTACCAAACATTGCGGGGATGATGAATGACTTCCTAGTCGATTGATGATATGACCGCTACCCGCCTTGAGCTCATAATGCAATAGACTTGCAAGTTGTGTTGCGTCGTTGGGTGTAAGCTAGGCTGTCCACGTCGAACTGCAAGCGCCGCAGGAATTGCCCAAGGGAGCTTTGAGCACATGCAACGTCTCAATTAAGCACCTTGGGTCTTTAACGTGAAGTGATTGTGGAGCCACCCTTGTAGCACTAGAGTCTCTAGAGACATTCGTAACGTGAAGTCACTGAAGCGACTGTGAAACAACGGCACGTCACGTGCCAGTTTGCAGGGGTTTGTCACTGAGGGCGAGTGTCTCATGCTCCATCATGCGGCGTTGGCCGATGAAAGGAAAGGAAGGTCAAAGGATCTCAATGTCCCGTAACTATGCAGGCATGATGTCAAAGATCTGAAGGATCCAAAGTTCTCTGGCTTGCCAGATGTGTTGTTTTCCATGTGATCGGTCGGCATTTTTGGATCTTCACCCGACCCGACAGGTCTCCCAAACCGCGTACGCCACGGAATTTCAATGACAGCCTCTCCGAGCCGGAGACGGCCTCTCGGCGGAACGGCGTTTCCTCGGGCGTGACGGTGACCACGCGTTGGACGCCAAAGCGCTGTCCGGTGTCCTCAAAACAGCAGGTGAGGTCCGAAGGGAAAGTGCGAGAGCGAGAAACGAAGAAAGAAAAGATAAGAAAGGTCCGAAGGCCAAAAAAAGGAGCACTTGCAAGGCCACAAGAGTTCAGGTTTCGTATTCATTTGTTCGACCAATTGCTTTCCTGTATGCCAAGCGAGGTGTTCCATTGCTGCGACACCAACGGTAATGGCCAACTGGATTTGCACGAGGTGAAGTTTGCCTTGAATGCCTTCGGGTTGTTCCCCTCCCTGGACTACCTCAGGCCATTCCGTCGCAACACCCGCCTGGAGAGGATTACAAGCCTGGAAGTTGAAGACCATTCTTCACATGGTTGATCTGGTCTTGTAGCGTAAACACCTTAGTAAGATAAGGGTTGTTCTCGTGGTTGTTCGGTTAAGTTAGGCTACCAAATCATATGAAATGAATGGTGAATTGAATCCTAGGGCAACTGGGGGGCCCTGTTGGAGTACCAGCGCGGACGTACTCGTCCCGACGAGTCTCGAAAGGAGGGCGAGTCTTGAAAAAGGCCTTAGTACAAAGGACAGGAAAAACTCCACAAGGTCCATAGTAAGCAGGCCATGTGCGAGAAGTTTCTGGCGAAAAAACAAGAATTAGTCAACTCCTGGCCTCAACCAGCATTGCTTTAGTGGACGATCGTTTCTTCGGTTGGACCATCGGACTGAAGGCGCGCCCCAGCACAGGTTGAAGGCATCCACCAGGCCACCCACCAGGGCGGCCAAGCTTGACCTACCCTCCTTGAAATCATGGAAGTGGATGCTACCACCACCTGCTTGGTCTTCGGAACATCGTCATCCACGGGGCCATGCCATCCACTTCCATGATCACTCCGGATTTCAGGTGTCCGTCGCCCTCCGCGTCGCCAGACCGTCGACTCTTCGGCGGTGCCGTCTTTCGCTGAAAAACCCTACGCTTCGCAGTGCCTGGATGGATGGCCCTACGCTGAGCTTCGATGCCTTTGGGAAACTCTTGGATGCCAAGCTTCGCAGCGCTCCGACCTCCATGCGCGGCCCGCGCACGGTGCCCTACTCGCGGCGAGGCGTAGCTGGGGCGGCGTTGGGGGTGTTCTGATAAGTTTGACCCCAATATGAACACAGCACTCCCTCCACAATTGACTGAGGCACCCATGCTTAGCCACATTCCAGATTTCCAAAGCGCATGATCAGTGGGAGAGGGAATGAATGGCCTTCCGATAACGGTGAGTGACGGTTAGTGGAAGAGCTGTGGCAACCACGGTCGATGGATACCCAACTGGAAATGAACATGAAGTGAATGGAACGGGGAACTCCGCTGATTTTCTGAAATGCCAGGAATCCGCATGGAGCAAGTGGAAGGCCTTTATGAGACCTTCATCTCCAGTGGATGGTTGCAGCAGCAATGCGATAACTTTAATGCCCAGAACGAGCCACTTGGCTATAACAGGATCCCGTTGCACGATCGCTTGGATCTAGCATGCACCACGGAGCCCGGCTTCTAAGGCAAGCCATTTGCCGGCGGAAATGCTTCGTTCCTTGGCAGAGACCATCTTTTTGTGCTTGCAGCTGGGCACCATGTGCTGACCTGCCACACAAACGCCGCCGAAGAATGGTAGCCACGTAGCACCTGTCATGTTGCTGCGTGGCAAGCTGGGCGTTTTCATCACCTTGGCATTCTGTTGGAGTGGGGAGAACCAGAGGGGGGACCAGAGGTTCTGTTGGATGGTTTTCTCGGTTTCACGGATTTGGTGAATTTGTTCTTCCCTGTAAGATCCTATAAGTGAATCCCCAAGCAATCGTGGGGAAGATTCTTTTTGGTTCCCGCCTTCCTGGGGGCCGCCAATTCAAGGCGATGGAGACGAACCTCTATGCGCTCAATCGCTGGGTCATCATGCCCAGCACCACACCACAGCCCGCAGAGAAAGTGCCGAAGGACATGCAGAGGCAATGGTTTGTGAGGGGGGTTGGATGATGGCTGCCCTGCTGCATGTGGGATGCATTGGGATCAAGCGGTTCAGTGGCCGAACGCCCGATTATGATTTGCACCAAAGGACGCAGTCACCGTCGCAGTGAAAAACAGAGCTCGACAAAGGTCCTATGAAGGAACAACAAGGAACACCGTTGTTTCACCAACCTGAGTCTAGATACAGGATGATACAGGAACACCAAAACGAGTTGAAAAGGAGGCTGTTGCAAGCTGGGTTTCTGCCGCGAGGGCTGCTGGCATGCCTATGGCCAGCCATGAGAGCTCCTTCTCCGAGCTGATGAACCCAGAGACTTGACCGGATGAGCACCGGATGGGCACAGGGATGAGCAGCGGTCAAAGGTCGCTAACTGAGCGAAACCGAAGAACATGAGCCAAAGAGTTGTTTTTTTGGGGTGTTGGGGAAAGGAGCTTCTTTAAGAGAAAGTCCACCCACCTACCCTTTTTGGTTTTTCTAAGTGAGTTTGAGGAAGACACACCAGGTCCGGACCTCTTTTTTTGTTTTTTTCGTGCTTCTCCCACTGTTCCACCGTGGTGGACCTCTGAACCGTGCTGGAGCCGTTTCGTGCTTGTTGGTGGGTTCAGAGCCTAGAACAAGTCCTCAAAGCGCATCAAATCAACTTTGCGCGTCCGGCGTGTCCTGGGTATAACTGGTATAACTATTGTTCTGCTGCCCTATACCTTTGAGTGACCTGGAGGCGGGCTTCGGACAATGTTCTGTTTCGAACCGGGGCTGTTCTGATACCCTCGCATGTTTGCAACTTCCTTCTCAGGCACGTGTTTAGCAACTGGCCTGTCTTTGTCCCTCTGTGGTTTCGACTCTGAAGGGCACCGCAGTTCGCACATCCTTTCGATTCACACAAGGCTATAGGTATCAGCGGGGATTACCATTGTTTGCCTTCTGGCTGGTTTGGATGAAGAGGCAGGAATGAACCTGGCATAGACGGAAGATCCGAATCCCATGTAGGTCCGGTCATGCCATCCGAATTGGCTGGTCGCAGGTCTTCACCCATGTTGACCCATGGGACAGTGTCGCTTTCGCCCGCTCAGAACTCAAAGGGTCCAACCACCGGTGGTCGGACCGCTGGAGCGTCCGCCGTGTGTCGCGGTTCCAAGGAGGGCTTGGCGGTCGACTACTTCGTCTCCCACTTCTGGGGTCATCCCTTTCAGGCACCACGAGTCCATTGCGTCGTGATGGGACCGCCATTCGGATGGTCCCAGGGTCTTCGGAAATTGGAGCATGAAGTTCCTAATTTCACGAGAATCACATGGAGAAATTAAAAACTCTTTCAGTCGAATGAGCAGGCTAGCGAGGCTAGGGGCATGAGAGAGAGAGAGAGAGAGCACCGTTTCGTGCATGTTCATTCCCACCCTAGAACCAGCCAGACCTTTGGTGAGCTAATGAGTAAGTTGTGAATGTTGTCGATTCGTTTGACTGTTCATCCTGCATCATTAGATCCATAATAGATTCACACGCTCAAGGATGACTTTCCCCGTACACAACCTGACTCATCCTGCTTGGCAGGTTCAAGGATTTGAGATTGACATGCATTTGAATCATTTGATTCTTACCCTTTTCCGGGAGATGTTCAGTCAGAACTTGAGAGCACTTCCCGGTTTGCAGCCTAAAACGGTCCTTGCACATGTTGCAGTGTTTGGTCAAAGCATGTCACAGCTTGTATACACGACAACTTGCAGGACACCTGTGCAGCCCTGCGTGTGTGGTCTCAGCAAGTCTACTGGCAGATCTCGCCATTGGGTTGCAAAGAAAATCTTTGGGTTTTGCTTCGTTTGTGCCGCAAGGATCTTCAAGTTGGCATGGCGAAGCCACGGCGAAGCCCCACAGGAAATACAAAGTCACTGCAAAGTAGGTGGCTCACTCCTTCCAAGCGATCAATCATGAACAGAAACGACAGGATGTGATGAATCCATAGGTCCAATATGAGGATTCCATTGTCCAAATGGTGATGTTGATAGGTAGTTGTGCTGCCCCAGTAGCGTCCTGAAGTAGAGTGAATGTGAGGACAATGCCAACAGCATTGTCATGTCCAAAAGACTGTTGCGAGACCATGGTCGACCACTAGCCACTCTATGGTCGATCAGCTTCCGCTCAGAAAGCAGGTCTGACTCATCGCACGACTTGAATGCTCCCCCTTTGATTTACCATGATTTACCACTTGTGTCCCGTTCATTCGATCAAGCTCCTTCGGAGGTATCCAGTTTAGCCCGTTCGGCTGAGGAAGCCTCGCATGAACGACATGGCTCCTTGGATGGGGTTGTTGTGCTTCCGGCGCTTCACCTCTACGAGTCAGCAGGGGGATGCAGGGGTGTTGGTGTCATACCCTGCTGTGTGTTGGATTGCATCGTGTGGGGCCTCTTAGCCATCCTGGTGTGGATTTGAAAGGTTGGGCCCATAGAAAGCAGTGTGTTTTTCGTGGCGTCAGGGCCTGCCAAGTTGCAGCTGCAAGAGACCTTGTGATGACCTTGTGGTGAGCATTTTATGAAGATGTTGCTTCATTGTATACACCAGCCCTGTCTTTCGAGCTCGAGGGCTTTTCAGACTGACCATTTCCCGTAGAATGAGTTCTAAGGCTCAATGATGGCTCAATGGTAAACAATGGTAAACATATTTAGACAATAATTTCTCAGAAAGCCTCAGAAAGCTTTGTTTCTGTAGACATGTTCTGATGGTCTCAATGGAAGAAAGCCCCGTTTCTCGAGCTTTGGACTTTTTTTGGACCATTTGGAAAGGCTTCTTAGGCAGCGTGGTTTCAGGAGAAAATGTAATTCTATAAATCTGTAGCTACAGTATGTCTATGTTCTGCCATTTTGTAGAGAGAATTGGGGGGCACCCAGTTTAATACAGAATGGGTGACACATGGTGACACGACGTCATTATTGACATCAGACACGACAATTCCCAACCAATGGATTTATGTAATTGAATTTTGTCATCGATTTTCCCGGAGGTCTTTGGGGGTTCTAATGCACACCGACACCCATGTGTGAAGACAAGAATCTGAGACCCAGCTCTTGGAAGTGACATTGTTGGTGCACTGTTTGAGGGCCACCGGGCAACCCGTTCCCTTTTTGGGGGGACGTCCAAGGACTCCCAAAGAGCTGATAGCTCGTCCCCAAGCTGATTTGCGACTTCCCCACCTTCAAGGCTTGCGGCACCAAAAACACAGCAAAACCGCTTGCCACAGCACCACAGGCGGTGGCGGCACGTCCAACCGCTGGCCACTGGGTCCAAACGTTGCGGTCCTCGTCTTCTGCGGCTGCCCAGGTCTACTGGATCTGCCTCATGGCTTTGAACCAACACCGTCCCGGCCTCTCGACGAGAATCGAACTCTTCGACTCGACCGGTGGACAACCTAGCCGAGTGGAAGGGCGTGACCTGCACCCGCCGATTCGGTGCGTGTGGGAATGTTGAAGATGCTCCTTTTTTGGAGGATTGCCTCCTTTGCTAGGCACACTTGGAGGTGATACTGGATACATCTGGATACTGCAGGTCTCACATGGTATGACCCTTTCTTGAGCCACACCAGTTGCAGAGCCACATGAGGTGACGAGGTGGGCTCTTCTCCAGAGGAGGGTCCTTTCAATGCAGCGTTGGTGCAATCCAGCTGTGGGGCAGCCGCTTGGCTGCAATGGGGGTCGGGTGAGGACAGTTGGGAGTCTGTAGGATGCTTTTGGCACCTTTAGGATCCTTTAGGCTTCAAGGCTGCTTTCATGCACACCACGCTATGCTTTGCGCCATTCCTGAGTCATAGAGCACGATGACCCAGCATAAAATCATTGCTTCCTTCTGGCTTATTTCGCAGAGGCTTAGTTCGTCGGAACTTAAGGGTTTTCAGAACTTTAAGCAGTGGACCACATTTGCGTGATGGAAATAAGGCTTTTGGGGAGCTGGACATCAATTTCCGTTTGGAAATACTTAAAACTTTACAATTTACGGGTATCCTACAGGAAAGGATCCATCCAGGTGAGTCAAACGTGGTCTGCCACTAAATGTTCTGGATTGAGTGAGCAGTAAAAGCCAGATCCTTCGAGGCCATATGTTTGCTCTGGACGGAGGGACTCACTCCAATACTTTTAAGATAGAATTTCAATTTGTAAAGGTCTTCCAAGACTTCCATGCAAACTTCCCTGGATTACTACGTATCAAATATATTTAAATCAGGGGAGTCTGAGTCCTATCTAAGTCGGGCTTAAAGTGGAGTTCCGACGAACTCCGACGAACTCCGACGAACTTGGCCTTAAAACTCTTAAATTTCTTGTGTTTTTCAAGTTTTTGCTCGTGATAATTGGCTGTTGGTGTGGCCAAAACCACCTGAAAATAGCTCTGAACAAGCAAGTTTGGTGTATTTTCTAATGAAAATTGCACTTGCGCCTCTGAATTTTCACGTGAAGAAATTAGCTGAAAACAGCCCCAAGCTGCCCTCCGACGAACTCCGACGAATTAAGCTGGAATCAAAATATTTAAGCTGAAGTCAAAATGTATAGGCCCTGGAGGCTGCAAATAGCAGTGTGCTTGCTGTTCTGAAATCATTCTAGGTGTTTGCGCTCTCCAATTGGCCAATTCAATAGCCATCAAATCCTTACTACCAGGTACAATGAGAATTTCACTTGGGAAGTGGACATATTCCCAAATACAATGGAACAGGTTGCCCAGTGGGCCTATCCACAGCACTAAATGCGGCCGATAGGGAGGGGTAGACAGAGGAACGGATATATTTTCACATGTTAAGATCTTTCAAAAATATTTAATGATTTGAACCCATTTGAAGCTGATCAGTTGTTGGAACACCTTGATTGATGCTATGAAAGCTGGGTTGGACCTTAACTTCTTGAAAAAGCTTAACTCCCGACCAACCCGTAGGTCTGCGAAATAGCCCACTTCCTTCTCCCCACCTTGCCAGGCGGGGTCTCTAGATTGTACGTCAGCGGTTCTCCTTCTTTTTTCTTTTTCCTTCTCCTCACCGCATCCTCCCCCCATCGCTGCCTTGTGTTTACATCGTCTCCCTGTGACCGGGGTGCTGCAAGGCCCTCCATGGGAGAGCTAGCTGCTTGCTAGGCTAGACCTCAGCACTGTTCACTATCCCCAGTCTGCGAGCAGTGCGTCTCGCGCTGGACCCCGGCCCTGTACCGATACCCAGCAGAGAAAGCGGGCACAAGCTAGGTGCTGCGGAAAAGCCGAACCTTACATTCATCATGCGCCGGTTTTGTGCTTTGCCCCGCTGTCCAACATGATGCTAGAACAAACCAAATACCGGAACAAATATGCAGATTACATGCCAGAGCAGGTGTCAGAATACACGCTACTTCATGCATGCAACATGTGTCATGCTTCACATGGCCACAACGCCATGTCCGATCCTATGCCGGGTTAAATGCTAAAGTAGATGTCCGCACATGTCAGAACATTGCCCAACTGCTCATTTAACTAAAATTGTGATCCTGGAATCCTGAAGATGTGAAAAGCTGAGGTGATGATCTTGGATGAAAAGGTGCAGCCCTTCACGCGCATTTGGTGCCTATTCGAGGTGAAGCGCCTCACAGACTTGAACAAGGCGCCTTCGCGACCGCTTTTAAGCGGTGAAGAAGAGGGAAGAGCGAACAGCTCCGAGCAACGCAAGGAGATGTGAGAACAAGACGGAACAAGTGCTATATATAACCATAGAGTGACCAGAAGGGTAGATGGTCAATGGCGTTTTGCATGGGGTTGAATAGTACTCAACCATGTTGAACCCTACTTCTCCTTAATCCTGGCGTACCAGTGGCCCAGCATCTTCGTACCCGACGTGCTGCCTAGGACTTCCACCTCATCTCCGCCAAGGGCGCCATGGGTGCCAATCTGGCTGCTGAAATGGATTTGGAACAGAGGCGGGCACATGCATTCATTCGGACCCCTCCTTACCACCCTGCGGGGTATGGGATGGGATGGGTTGATAAGACCGAAAAACATCGCAGAAGGCATGGGGACCTCAAGCATCAACAGAATACGCTCTGACTCACTAACATGGTATACGAACACCCCCAAAGGAAGGGACCATGCCATCATATGCCATCCATATCCATCCTGCATGTATATCGTTTGCATTGTTGGGTCTGTGATGCTCATGAAACCCATGTTTGGGGTCATTGACCATGTGACTTGTTATAGACCGCATGCGTGTGCATTCGCTCCGGACTCGCTCCGAAGCTGGGGCAGCGAACCTTGCAACATGCTGGATTCTCGGCGATCTTTTGCGGGATTGGATTCTCATGCCCAAGGTGTTTGGACGCAGCCCCTTCGCGTTTGTGCGCCTTCCCAGGCGTGTCTTGATGGAATTGACCCAGCGAGTGGCTTCAGGTTTGGAGGACATATCAGCAGCCAAGGCGCGTTCGGGGTGGTTTCGAAGGATGGACCGCCGGGACCGCCTCCCTTCCAGACTGGAACGCCAGCGAAGAATTGTGCCCGAAGTGGTGGAACGACATATCGGGCGACCATGTGAATTGTGCATGGTTCGCCCAAGATGGTGGTTCATATATTTTTTGGGAGGTGTCAAATTATATGCCTGTAAGAGTCGGAAAGCAATGATCACTATTTTAGAGAAAGGCCTTTAGTAACCATTATACTTCATAATACTTCCATCGTGACAGTGATTAGGATATTCCCGACATGTATGTATGCACCCCCATCTAAAAGACATCTTGAGGTGCCGGTGCCATCTACTCTGAAAGAAATGTAGACATGTTGTGCCAGCTATCTATCTCCTCAATAACGTAACGTGACTCAATGCGGGGCATTTGGAGCAGCTGCCTGAGACTGGCCAGGCCAAGTCCAGCAGTGAAGATGACAGGCTGCTCGGCATGCCACTTTTGTACAGCCTTCAGCGAGGCTCACTGACAAACGTCAATCGGTTACTCTCACCGTGTTTCATTTCCTGGGATTCCAACAACCATTGTTTCAATCATTCTTGCCAAAGAGCCATCGATTTACTAGAAATTATACAAACAAAACCAGGTCAACAGTCAACCATTCTTTTAATGGCTAGGATTTCCTTGTCCAAACAGGTTCCCCCTATAAATCTCGGAACCAACGCACTGATTATTAATGATTCTGTTTTAACTTGTTGTGAGCCCTTCAAATGCTGCTCCTGGGAAGTAGCCCAAGGGCGACATGTTTCAAAGGCCATCCACCACCGACAAACAGCAAGAGAAACACAGATACAGCAAAAGCTACCAAAGCCTGCCAGAAAGACCTAGCTCGAAGGAGCTCCTTTTCACCTAGTTTGGTGACAACCAGGCTAAAAGTAGTTTGCGAGAGTGGGTGTCTTCTTGTTGCCTCTTCCCTCACCACCAACCTCCCCTCCTTCCATGTCCCACCTACCAACCTCCCCACCTTCCATGTCGTCCCAACCTCCCGGATCCGTGGGACCGAGGTACGCCATTTGGCACCGCGTGGCCGATCCGCAGCTCCGCAAGGTGCCGCTGGCCATCGCACGGGACACCTGGCGAATCCGAACCGGAACCCGGCCCGGCGCGCGGCTCCGTGGCCCGTGGCCGTGCTGAAGGGCCGTGGGGAGGTCGAAGACAGGCCGTGGAGAGCGCTGCACGGCCATGGCACCGGAGGACCCCGGTTTTTCCCACCACAAATGAACAGAAGGCCTATCCACCAGGGTTTTAGAGCGGTTTGGAACCACCCATTTGCCGATCTTGGCAGCCACATCAAGGGCACCCATGGCCGGGGTGAGGGATTGCAGTGGGGTTAGGATTTGAGAAACACTATGTGACTTTGGATGACTTTGGCTTTGCCCATCGTGCAGGGCCCGGTATGCTTGCGATACGTTGGGGGTTCATGGGGGCTGTGGTTTTGCCCCGAGAAAACTGCTCCAAGCTGAGCTTTGAAAAGGATCCTTAAATAGAATGTGCTTTTTTTTGGGGGGGGGGAGGGGGTATCGTTGTATATACATATATATATATATGTGTGTGTGTTATGTATATACACAAAAAAAATATTATATATATATATATATATCTGTGTGTGTATTGGTTTAATCACGATCATGTACGGCCTCTATGGCGGCGTCACACCTTTTGAACCTCAACCCCTGCGCCAAAAAGGGGTCCACCACACCTGTGGACGCGGCCGGATCTGGCCGGATGAGCTTTCGACCCTTTTGATGCCAAGGAGAAGAAGCTCTTCCACCCAAATGCCTTCAAACGCTTTGTGCCTTGGCTCTGACGGTCGGGGGACTATGTGACCATGATTCACCATATGTATTCAAGATTAATACCGATATATAGTATTATATAATAAGATACAGTAACGCAGTAAGAAGTCTGGACTTGGAGATGTTCCTGCCGGCGCAGCTGGACAGTATGCACTCATGTTTTCTAGATCGGCAAGGCTATATCATGCTATATCGAAGCTCTTAGCATCTCTTAGCTCTTAGCCCTTCATTTTCTGCTGCAAGGTTCAACTTGAAAATCTGTTGTTTGGAGTGTGTGGTTGCAAGTTGTTGAGCTCTTCGGCCATGCTTCCTTCCGCTCAAAAAAAAAGCAGGACTTGACGATCCGCAGCTTGCTGGCAGCTCCTCTATATCAAACCAGTTTGCAGGAGGAGGATGTCCAGAGTGCCCTTCGAGACCTGACAACAAACCCGTAAGGACGCTACGAATGGGGCTCCTGGCATCGCTCGTCGGGACGGGAGGAGCTGAGGGACCGAGGCGAACGTGGTCGCCTTTCGCTTCAAAACGGAGTCCACAAAGATACACTGCGGGCAACATATATATGCTATAGCCTGCTATAACCAATATTGATTGCAGATGTAGGACCAGCCAAATCCTCCTCAAGGTTAGTGTCGATGTTGTTGTCATGACATGGAGATCAGATGTGTTTGGAACCCAAAGATGGTGTGCAGCACGCGGCCAACCTGCCAGCAACACGGCCAAGCCGCATGTGTTCGATCTGCCTACCGGACGCCCACACGGCCATTCCACTGGTTGCTGGTTACCTCGTGCCCGGTCGTGCCCGAGGATACTTGGGCTTGGGCGCACCCTTCGGGCGTCGCGACCTGGAACTGCTTCGGGAACGGGACATCGACGTGGTGAAGGTGGAGATCGCGGTGCGCAGCGGCCGCTCGGGCGGTTCCCATTGGTGGGTTGGTGGGCGCCCAGTCCAACAGAGCATGGGGAAACGGTCCTCATCTCGAGATATGACTCAAGCGACTCAAGACTATATTAACACGGTGCAAGTTGATAACTGGTCCTCCAAAACACGTCGCAGAAGGGGAGTTGGGGAATCGGGGATTGGCCAGTTTGTGAATGGGTACCGGTGGACATGAGGCTTCACATCAGTCCCACCACTGAAGATGAAGATATTTCACCATGCTACTCTGACAATAAACGGACTAAAGTAGAATGCTTATATATTAGTAAGCAACAATATCGAGATTCAAAGTGATGTAAAACATTGTAAAGCCATTCTGGTATGGGGCCTTAGTGCAAAAGGTGGACTGTGACTAGTCACAGGCTCGTAGGATCCCCCCAGGCCTTTGACCTGACGAACTCAGGAACTAGCTTGGTGCATTGGCAGCTCCTCCATGTGGCCGCATACTTTGGGCACACGGAGGCTGTAGAGGTGCGCAGCGAGGGGGGGTGGGTAGCGACCTCCAGAGGTCTTTCGACGGGAAAGAAGTAGAAGGGCCGATTGAAAAGGATTGAAGACATAGGTGCATGCCAGACGTGAAAAGAAGAGGATTTCCATGCCCTTCCAGAAAAGACCGAGAGAAGGTTTCAGGGTTACCATTGAGGACAGTGATAGAGACACATATAAAGATCCTACCAACTCCTGTTCCTGTTGTTTGTTCCCGTGATCAGTCAAGGATGATCGTTGCAACGCATGGTGTGGGATCAATCAACATGTGGTGGGCTTTGCGGGAAACACTGCCCATCCGGAAGGGTCGCTGGTGGCGGCATGGCCTCAAGAGCTCCCATCCATCCAATATATCGCATCCCTCCATCACCTTGATAGCAGTGATAGGAAAAGAATGGAAAAGACCATATTTTTGGTGGCTGGTGGCCCAAAATAGAGGTCACTCAGGTTCTCGGAATTTCCCGTAGGTACGTCCAGTTCGACTATATGTTGACCCACTGAAGTGTTCAGGAACTTCCTAGACTCACCGTTCGTCGGATCACGATTTTTGGGGTCTTTGACTTCCAGGGTCAAATAGATCAGTTTTTAACTTCTCGCTACCGTATGGTCCAGCCAGCAGCCTACAGCCAATACATCTCCATAAATCATATATACATTGTCCTGTTACTATTTTTGGACAAGGCCTCTACTAACCATCATTATCCACTGTTACAGGTAGTGGGATAGACCCAATATACACATAAATCATAAATCAATATCTCCCATCCATCGGTGCAATTCAGCCAAGTCTTCTTGCGACCGATTGCGACGAATCGCCGTCTCGTCGGGCTTTGGGGTGTAACCAAATACCCCGAGGAAAAGACAAAGATGGTCGCTGGGAGGAAAGAAAGGCTAAGGAACACTTAATTTGTTGCATTTCTGTTTCCTTTGTCGATGAAAGTTGGGAATTTGGATCATCCTACTTAGGATCCCAAAACACTTTGGCGGAAGATTCCTATCCAGGTGGAGTCCAGCCTTCCGCGTTTGAACACCATGTGGTATTCCGGCCCAGCCATGCCCAGCTCGCGCCTGGGGCTCGCGAGGCTCTGGTCGAGTCGAAGGCCAATCTGGAGGCCGGAAACTGTTTGGACTTGGACTTGCGGGGTTTCTACAATAACATTGCAGAGTGAGCACTGGGGACTGCCTGGGAGGCCAAGACTAAGTTCAAGCTGACACCTCTACATCAAGCAGCCCGCAATGGGCAGACGCTGATTTGTGAGATGCTTTTAGACTACAAGGCGGGGCTTGCTTTTTGTGCGCTGCAATGGTCAAATTCTTCACAATCCATCGACACCAGCCGTGTTCTTCGCGGTGTTGGTGCGATAAAGTCCATGGCTTGAACATCTTGAACCCCCCAAAACCAAAGTTCCTGTTCCATGATTTCCATGTGCCGCAAACTCCGGGACGAGGGAGGATGGAAAGCGCTGCTGCAAGGGACCAAGTGCTTGGTCAGAAGCCTGATGTGAAGATCTGCCTGATTGAGGCATTGATAAACAATCAGATGAACAAATCCAATTGAACACCACGCCATCGCAGCTACTTTATCCCAGAAAATCCTATGGCATTCTCATGACTCAAGACTGGTCTTTGGGACCCTGTTGAACCTGATTCAACTCAACCCACCGAAGCTATCTCGTCACCTGAGGCAGATCTCCATAACGTGGCCGCACAGGGGCGCACGTGCTTGCAGAATGCAGCCCATCAGGGCCATCGAGGCGTAGTCGAACTCTTGCTGGCGCGCAGGGCCAATCCCAACATCAAAGATGAGAATGGAGCAGTTGGGCGAAGAGAACTGGAGGGATTTTGCAAAAGGCATGGGCAAGAGGAGGAGGGTCTACACGAGCCTAGGTGTTTGACCTGATTGTTCTCCCTGTGGTCATGCTATGTCACAATATAGTCATCAGGGAGCCTTTGATCTAGGAACCTCGCCAGAAGATCATCAGAGACCAGTTGCTTGGGGCGATTTGTTCTTCTGGGAGTTCCTTGGATTCCTTGAAGGAAACTTTAGAAGGGAGATGGAGGCCTCTTATACTATACTGGCTTCATCCCCCAAACCTCAAACTTGATGGCACCAGCAAGTGACTGGCGACTGGAGGGGCTGGGAATCCTCAACTAAGTATGAACACCAGTCCCGTGACTGTCCTGCGGGGGCTCAGCATGGATCCCTCTCTTGTCCCGCATCTCCCAACCCGTCTGGTTCCAGTCCCCATGGCCTTTGTGGAGTGGGTCCACCCAGCGCTGATCGAACCGCTCCCAGGTTACAGCACTCCATTCCGCCGCCGCGTCGGGTCACGGCGAGATGGTGGAGGCGGCGCGACCGGTGTCGCCGTATCAAAGACCTCCGGGACCTGGCAGAAGTGTCCAAGACTCTCGGAAGTGATAGGTATATATACATATATAATAACACCCCGCCAAGAACAAGCAAAGGCCAAACACTTAGAGTTCTTCACCTTTGAGGTCATGAGGTTTTGCAGCCCAATCCCTGGCTTATATATATATAATATATGTATATATATATATATGTCCTATCCTATCCTGTCCCCATCTCACGGGTATTTGGTGCATTTTTTACCACCAGATTCTGGGGCTCGCGGCCCGCGGCAGATTCGGGGGCCAGGTTTCGTCCCCAGGATTTGAACAAGCACCCGCCTAGAGACTCCGCCCCCACCCAACGTGATTGGATTTGAACGAGTGGTGAGTGGGAGTTGGCCATCCTGTCAGCAGCCCCCACTGAAATAACACAAGACATTGGTGTGGAGTCGAAGGATAGCGCTGGTACGATCCTTCACGTATCCGAACGCCTAACACCTCCTGTTGCGGCCTGTACCGTGCTCCGGCCGTGCTACTTGAACAGCGCCAGGTGCTGCTGTCCTCGGGCGCCGACCCCTTCCTGCGTCAAGCCGACGCCGCGTGGATATCGGGGCGGACCGATGCGGTGGATGACACAGGTCTATCCCAGATCATCCATGGTGTGGAATGGTCACCCTCATTGGGGGGGGCACTAAAAGGATCATTAAAGTGGTGTAAATGTATGTAACTATATACCTATTTCATACATGGTTGGATTGGTATAAAACACATTTGGGAACAAGTTCTATAACTATATATATGTATCATAGAAACATGTTTTGATATGTCGCCCAACAAAATGCATTTGGGCTGAAAGAATCCACCAAAAAAAAAAGTATATGGACCCAATACTCGCGAGAGACGCCCCTTCGGATGGTCCACCTAACATCTTCGGATGATAGACCTAGGCTCAAGAATCCGCACGGAAAAGAAAGGTACCAACTTAAGTCGGCTGGTTGGCTCCCAGAATTGGTTCAAGGAAAATCTGCAGGAAAGCCATAGTTTTTGGGGGTGAAAACATTGGTTTGCTGCAGATTGTCCCTTAACCAATTCATTGATTGCCAATTATGGGAATCACCCAGTGTTTTGCTAGTGGCCCGACCCGTGATCCCAAAAGTGTTTCGCCAGACCCAGAACCAGCGGGCAAGTCGGCCGAATCAGAGGGACAGTAGTGAACCCTTTCAATTGCCAGACCCCAAGCCTGCGAATTCATGTTTACCAGAAGCTCATTGACCTTACCAGACCTTCAGCTCCTTCCTTCCTTTCCTTTCCTTCTTTGCCTTTCCGTTCCCTTCCCTTCCCTTGCTGGAATTTTTGTAAGGAGTTAAGGACCACTCATTGGAGATGAGAAAGTAAATCAGCAGTTGTTCCCAGCGGGGTGGCCTACTTTTGGTGTCTAAGAAACCATCTTAAGCAACGCCCGGCCGCCCAGGACCTGACGGTTTTACATGTCGCCTCCATGCGCGGTGCCGTGGAGGCATGGCATTTGTGCCTTTGAGCATGCAGCATGGAACAAGTTGCATGTATGTGGGCCAAGAGGGGGTAGAATGACCCGCAAATGTGCAGAAATAAGACTTAAAACCATATGACGCCATAAGTGGTGCCAGATCTTGATTGAACATTGTGCGAGGAAAGACTGCATTGGAAATTTATTCAGTTAAGCAGTGACAAATGGCCAAACGCATGATAAAGTATGTGTATCCAAAGCATCAAACTACGAGATTCTAATGAAATTAGATGCATCTCTATTTGTATAATTGAATATATAAATATAGAGAGACATTGTTTGTGCGTTAAGGATTGTTCAACAGCTAGGGTTTTAGGGCAGCCATGCTTGGCCGTGCTTGAGTTGCGCTTCTTGGCCCTCACCGGCCCTGCGCCTTGGTGCCACCAGGTTGCGAGGGAGATCGTGGAGAAGACCCCTCAGCGGCAAAAGCTCTTGCGCAGCGGTTCCACCAAGGACCGGGGCCACGCAAAGCCCAGTGCTTTGCACGGACGGGTGGGCACTGTGGGCCAGAGGGTCCGAGTGGGTGTTGCGAGAAGCCCCACCAACCTTTGGCAGAGGATTGAAGCCAAGCCAGGAACCAAAAACACCTGGAAAGCTATTGGAGCTTTTTCTGGAATCCAACTGGGCTGAGTCAAGTTGTTTTTGCATCACTTGATGTCAGTTGCATTGTGCCCCTCAATTGGCGTTCGGTTTGCGAAAGCTATGTGTCGCACAGGTATGCCAAGCAATAAAGCGAACGGCGGTCTTGCATGGCCCATTAAAGGCATTTGGGCATGATAAACACACATCAACATACATCAACCATATCGACATCTTACTTTGCATCTCGAAAAGAACTCACCTCCGATCACTTGCTCTATAATTATAGTTCATCTAGTTTTGAAACATGATACTCTTACCTATGTACCTTGCCTGATTGCACTATGCTGCCAGGGTAGTGTGCTGGACCTGGCGGGCACCACTGAGATGGCCGTGGCGTGTCTGACATGGGGCCCCTACATATTCATGGGCCATGGAGCGGCATATTTACACACATTCGGGTCATTTGGGTGGTTTAATTTCAGGGGTCAATGGGGCGGCATATATACCAGTCTCATGGATTGTTTGGGCATTAACATCGGGCCTCTCAATGCTGGAAGGTTCGGAAGAGCCAGACCAGTCTACCCAGCCAGGGCCAGGTCGGGTATACCGGGTATGTCGCTATTGTTATAAAAACATATAAAAACCGTACATTGGAGAGAGCCTGTTTTCAATTTTAAAAGTCAAAAAAGTCAATCCCAAAAGTCAAAGTCAAAAACAAGTCAAATCAGAAAGTTTCAGAAAGTCAAAAAAAGTCAAGTTGCACAGATCCGACTTTTTTTCCTTTTATTGTTTGTTTTACTGTTTCGAGTTGTTTTAAAAAAATGATGTGTTTTGACTTGTCTTTTTCGACTGTTTTGGACTTGTTTCGACTTTTGTTTGGCTTTTCCATTTGACTTTTTATGCCGTTTTTTACATCAAAAATTCTAGTCGAACCATATGAAACGATGTTTACAACGCTATTGGAAGACACACCCTCGATCACCTGGCCCCCAGTCGAAGTCGTAACGTTCGGGGTGTCCGAAGTCGTGTTGCCCGGTTCTGACGTCGGGCCTTGGGCAGAACCGCTCCCAAGGGTCTAAGCCCTGTATGAGACTAAACCGCTCCCTCGGTTTGTTCATGTTTGTTCAGAGATGGGATGGAAGTCTCCCATGGTTTGAACCGCTTCGGTTGGTTCATGTTTGTTACAGAGGCTTCCATCCCAGGATCGCCCCGTAAAAACTGTGCATGTTCCTCTACGCACTCGGCCTATTCCACTTCCATCGCGTGTGTGACTGAGAACATGTGAAACGCAACAGAGAAGAAGTCCGATTCCCCAAAGGAGAAACTCGAGCTGTAACTGTGGCTGCGACACTTCAAGACATGTTATTGAGAAGTTTTCGCCACTGACCAGAGTCTTCAGCATATTGCCTCACTTTGTTGATTGCTTTGACAACGGCTTGGTGCAAAAGGAGTGAGTGAGTGTTGTGGAGATGTTGTTTTTTTTGGTACCGGATACCCCGCATTGCCTTGACATGTTGTTTTTGTGATTGCACACACTACTGCAGTGTCATTGAAGCGACTCACCAAGATAGGCAACAGGGCACCAGAACAACATCAGCGAGCACTGCTGTGACTAAGGAGTTCCTTCGCGGCATCTCTGAAGGGTCTGACAGCTGAAACTTTGAGGGCTGGGTGTGACACTGGGGTCCTCATATTCATTCACCTCTTTATGTGGAGGCAGAATGGTAATGATCCCCAGTGGAACTCTCTTCCTATGGTGGTTGTCCTCCCAATGTGGTGGCGTAGCACACACCTATCCTTTTTGAGACTCCTAGTTCAACCTCAGCTGCACGACCTCTGATCTCGGCAGACAAGCTGCTCAGACCGAAACCATTTACAGAAGCCGAACAGGCCTGGAGCCACTTTTCCCGCTGCCTTGGGGCCAGGATTCCACCGGGGAGCAATCCTAGTCACGGCTTGCATGACCCTTCTTTAGCTATTTCTAATTTCTAATCAGAGTCATGAATGGGACTAGACATGGACTCCTAAACTTAAAAAGCGATGGTCTAGGATCGAGATGTGGCTTTGTCAGGAAAACACACATATATAGTCATGAAAAAATTAGAAACATGTGAAAGAGGAACACACGCACAGAAAATGAACATTTGACTGCCACAAGTGGTTGTTTTGTTTGTTTTTCAATGTTTGTTCATGCCAAAGTGGTCGAGAAAGTACAAACTAAAAGACCTTGGGAGAGGACATGTTTTTGTGTTTGTTGTCGTTGGCGGCATACTCTTGATGCAAGGTTGGCATTTGAATCTCAAAGATTCCATTTGGTGACTGATTCCACGGTCCGGATCGTGCCACACCGGCTTCATATTGGGGGGGCGGCGTTCCTTTCCTTGGTGGAGGTCCTGTCCAAGAAGGCGGCACGGCTCAGGCATCGCCAAATGCAGCTGGCACCTTTGGCAGAAATCGCTGCCAAGGTCACGAGAGGGCTTGCAGGTCATGTAACATCCTAACACATGTTCACACATCTGGATGATGCCAACTACTAGCGTCCAATGGCCTAACCTTGCAGCCTTATTCTTCTTGAAAGCAATGATATGCAATGACAAGCAGTTGTCATGTGTTGTCATAATGCTTGCTGGGCTATGCTACATTTAATGGTTTGTTCGCGTGTTTTCAAGCCCGCAATTGCTCCTGCAAGAATTGGAGACACACAGAGTTTGATAGAGATGCCTTCAATGCAGGTGGATTGGCCGTCATTTACCGTTTCGTCAATGTCAACCGCTTGTGATTTGTTTCCTTTCATAGTCGCAGAGTTGGTTGAAACAGGCACAGCTCTGAGAAACTGTATGCCTTAAGGCAATGGCGGCTAGGACTAATTATGAGCCTCCCTGGCTGCAGTCGCTCAAAGGCGCTGCAAAACTGGCGCGGAACCTTGCGAAGAAAAGTGAATCATAGGTGAGTCAGCGTGTAGCTGGTGCATCTCTGAGAGTGGCGTTGCTTTGGCGTTGCGGAACAAGGCGGCGCGTTTCCGCATTGCAATTTGGCCCAAGGCACTTTTCATCCTTGGTGGAAGGATGAGGAGATAAATATCTATCACCAGTCAGCTTAATCTAACATCTTCAATAGGTTAAGCCTAAGGACACTACCTTCAGGAGCTTCACCGGGGTCAGAAAGCCTAGGACGATGACAGACCCAGACTGTTTCACACCTTAGTTCTGAGGATCGGGCGATGGTTCCCTTGTCCCGGTTCCTGGGTGAAGCCTTTTCGAACTGACTTGGGACCGCAAGTCCAAGTTTTATTGTTGCCCCCAAAGATGGAAACGGTTTTCAATACATGTTGAAAGGGATGTTACTGTTCTATCTATTTGAGGGTCTATTCAGGGTCTATATAACTCATTGCAGCATGGTCACTGCATGGGCCGATGGGTGGGATCACCCGTGCCCGCTCTCGGAGCAGATCCCATGAGCGAGTTAGAGCCTGAGAATTTGGAGAGCTGTTTGATCAGAAGACGGGCAATGGGTTGGTAGAAGTAAAAGGTGCTTGTGGAGATCCATGGTTTAAGTTGTTTTATGTTGTTTTAGCTGGTTGTTGCAGGGATTACGTGCCAGTAGAAAGTGGAGGTGAAGCCGGTGAAGCCTATAATTTGTTTGTGTATATAGTTATGTGATAGTATAATATATGTTACACATTTGTGAATACAGATACTTTCTGTGTGAACTTTAGCTATTACGGGTGAAGTGACCCATTGATCGACTGGTCAGTTTAGTTTTTCGCTGGGCCAACAACTCGGGCTGTTCACAGCCTAGTTTATACAAAGTGGACATCTCTCCATTTTCTTGATGGTTTGGGAGTCAACTAATTAGGGTGGGTTTTGATTCACAGCCTAGTGATCGCTTGGGATGGGGATGTGCATTCTTTCCAGGATCCCACCCACGCCCAGCAGGCCGGACCGGCCACCGCCAGCTCGACGGCGCGAGCCACGTCGCCAGCTCGAGGGCGTGCTGCCTAGTGAGTTGAAGATTGCCGTGGTGTCATGGTGTGGTCATCAAGGGGGAGGGCTATTGGGCCTTCCACAGCATGGGGAGTTTAGAATGAAGTATAATGAATGTTTAAGCAACAGTTGGGTTCTCGTGTCCAATTCCAGCAGGCGTGACTTTGGTGGTTTTGTTGAGGCTGAGTCCCGGGCTGAGGGTGAGAATGAAGAGCACCCCATGTTTAGCCGCATGTACGCCATCACCGTTTCTATGCCTTTGCCATTGTGTGCAACAGCGCCATGAAGGGCCGCTGTTGCGCCTGTCTTTTCACCAGTGGCCTCTTTGCCAGTGGCCTGTTCTCAACCCGAAGCTTTGCCATGGCAGAAGCTGGACGCCGACTGACTCGGGGTCATGATCCGCATGGGCATGGACCTTTCGACTGTCACGGACGCCTGTTGGGATCGGTTTGGAGGATGTTTGCTGCACTGGTTGCACCTTCGGCTTTCCCCTGTAGCCACCCAAACAATATCAAACAATATGTTGCTCATGGTTGTTCAAAGACACTACCTTACTTGCTCATTAAGCACCCTTTGGCTCTTGGAGATTCCTCATCATCAAGGGATACTGAGCAATGATCATTGGAACATTGGGGGTCAGTATCAGCTAGTGAAGATTAGTGAAGCAATCATTTCCCCTGCAGCCTCCCAAACGGTTTGGGGGAGCCCAGGTGGTAGCATTTTGGTAGCAAGCGCGGTCCCGAGCACAGTCAGATGCTTGAGGACATGCCTAATGAGATCTATAGTCTAGTCTAGTCTACATAGAAAGACTAGATTTAGTTTAGTCTATATTTTGACTAGACTAATGAGATCTATATATAGTCTTTATATATAAATATAATAAAGAAATTCCCTTTTGAGTTCGGGACCCCTTTTTTCGTGCACTTCGTGTCGCTGCGACCGAGAACCAACTTGAGAAATATCAAGGGACATTGGGCTGTCACCCTGCTCAAGATTGTTGGCGTCCTGTCCCCCCCAATCCATTGCAATGAAGCGAATTCGCAACATGCCTTTGCTGCTATGCAGCCGAGCTATGAGTATTCCCTGCCAGATCCGATCAGGACATGGAGCACAAGTCACTGGCACTTCATGTCATGAAGAATGCGAAGCCCGGCATTTGGATCCGATCGAGCTGACGCGCTTCGATGCTGGCTCTGGCTTCCAATACCCCGAGCTGCTGGGTCTGAATGATTCCGGAGCGCCGCTGGGAAGAGAGGAAGTAGCTCCAAATCCCGGTGCCACCAGGGTGGCTGAAGTGACAATCCGTTTGGTCGCTGCATGAGGTTGCAACCCTGGTTTTGGTCGCGATTGTGCTTTTCAGGGGGCTTATGCTGTGGGAATTCAAACATTTCACCCCTGTTAGATAGACATGCTCTTGGAGCTGGAAAACCAGATGTTAGCTTCGCTAGAATCTATTGCGCTGACGACACTCTACCCCTTGCAGCCAACACATATGCCGCAAACAAAATACTCTGGGTCGTGGAAAGTATTTCAATGCAATTCGGACTTCGGCTATGCAGGGGGAAAGTGCTCATACATTGCAATGAATGGAAACAATGTTGTTAGAGTTGGCTTATGGGACCATACTGAATAGGTGCTCCGAGACAACATGAGACAACTTACCTTGGACATCATATTAACGCAGTCTCTCAATATACGGCAGGAAGTTTCTACAGAATTCAACAGTCTTTGATAACATGGTCAAAACGGAAACCATTCTGGAAGGCTGCAAACTGTGGGTTGGAAAATCCATGTCTATCAAGCTGTCGTGAAAAAACAAGTTGATTTATGGTCTGGAAACTGTGCACTTAACGCAGAGTATACTTAGCAAACCTAATACGTTCGAACTTCGAGGGTTAAGATCTACACCAGGACTAGAAACAACTTTCGTGAACCGAAGAAAGACCAACGACTATATGTGTTAAGAGTGGCTTCCGAACAGGCTGGCTGAGAAGTGAAATGGTGTTCGGATCTTCTTTTGAGCAAACGAGTTGCCCTGTCGGGCACACATTCTATGATCTCCAGATTCGGACCCTTTGCGACGAGTCACATGTGTTCCACATTCGGTGGGTGCTTATCACGAAAGGTAGCGGTTACGCTACCTGAGTTTTCCTTTTGCTTTAGCAAAAATGTATTAACCCAGAGCTGCAGCCTATCTCTCGGAGAAATGGTCCCCGACATCTTCGTTTGCTGGCCGGGGGGGGGGGGGCCCCCCCCCCCC